TTCCATCTAGACACCTACGTGTTCTTCTAAGGAGGATGGTTCAACTGAATACAATCATGGTATCTGTGTTACTTATAGTCTTCTGGCTGTCTTCTGTTTCTCTGCGTGCTTCTGCTAGGTCAGTCATGCAGAGATTGCAATTTGTCTAAACATATTCTGTTTTTAAATGGTGAAGGAAAACTGATCAAATTCTGTACTTAAAAGCAGCTATATTACACTTCTTTATGTTTTTCTGCTGGTTGAAATATCTTTATCTGCCATCTAGTTCTCTGTAGTAGTCTCTGATGCACATAGATGCATCTAAATTCAGTCTCAGGCAATGAAGAGTACCACTGTATAAATTAATCACCAGCAGAGGCTCTTGGTCCTATGTTGATTTCATTTTTATTAGGAAAAATGTGCAAAAATCTGAAATTTTTTTGGCCTAGGAAAAGTTTCTGTATGCATGGCATGGCTCACAAGTCTTGTCATTCCCCAGTTAAACTTAAGCAGGCAAACCCAAGTAATTGTACATCTAATCACAGCTAAGGAACACATGCATGCCTGCTCGGTCAGTGTGATTGTCAGCAAAAACTTTGAGAATATGGATAGACGGGGCAAGTGCTTGCTGAAATATTCCAGTTGAAGTCTGAGTTACAACAGACTGAAATGGCTGAATGAAAAACTATTTTCCACAGCACAGCAACATTCAAAACATGGATGTTTGAGATACAACTGTTCCCTGTATATGATCCTCTCTGAAACTCAGTGATGCAAGATCACAGATACAACAGGGCTTAACTGAAGGCTTAGCTTCTGTAAATTAAGTTCTAAAAAGATTTCCCAACTGTTTTGCAGTATCCTGTACTAGTGTACCTTTTTCCTGAAGGAAGCCAGAATGTGGCTGGCTTTCTCATGTATCAGCTGATATTAGTTTAGTAAATGAAGATCTGTAATAATTCAGGTGTCCAAGCAGCTCACAGATTCAGTCCTCTATGGTGATTTCTTGCCAGCTTTGCTTAGAATAGCCCATATGCTACTTTCAGCTTGTATATAGATGTGAACCTAGTAAGGTCACTTCAGAGTCCTGTTTCTGCCTGCTGTAATGTATTATGAACAGTTTATCTTCATATTCTAACACTGATTAGCTAGGTCAGCCCACAGTCACCAATAGGAACATGGGTACGAATCAGAGGAAGATAGACTGGAAAAGTGTTTCCCTTTGGAGGAGACTTTCTGGAAGTGTTTCCAGAAGATCTGTCTCCGTATACTATAGCCAAGACTCCAAACTTGTTCAAGGGTCTAATCTGAAACATCATGTTGGCCTTTAAATGAAGAAGATTGAGTTCTTGCACATGAGCTGATCTATAGACCATAAATATTCTTAGCCCTGAGAAAATAAAGTGTATTAGAACAAACATATCCAATTTTACTGCTCTGAGAGGCTCAGAGTGCACATATAATTTCTACAGGTAGATCATATACTGTCGTTTGTTGAGCTGTGGTAACTGTCTTATGTCTGATCCTTCAGGCCTGTTTCAAAATGTTTTAACGGGGCACTGCAAATAAAACATCGGTAAGAATCATCTCTTCTGAAATTGCTGATCTATGGTTTAAATTTGGTTCTTAGGAAGAAATTCTTAAATATTTGTTAATGCCTCATGAAACCTAGTGAATCAGTCCAGGATATGAACGAAAGTTATCTACTCCCATAAAAGCAAGTATCTGCTAATTAATGCTGTATGAATCAGAACAACTGCAAAAGAGACATTAAAAGCAAAAGAACTTTCTACGTGGCCTCCTACAACCTAACAGTACAAAATAAACTTAACTCATGTCAAAACAATAGCGTAAGAAGTGGATGTATATACAAAATGTTTGGGTTTGACCTTTTTAAATAATAGCATTTAAATGGTATTTTGCTGAGAAGAAATGACAAATTATATGGAATTTCCTCTGGGAAAATGACATACAACATACATTGCACGTGCAGTTAGGGAACATGTACAATAGTAACAGCCAAGTATTTCTCCTACATTCTATATTTGAAATATCATGTTTAATCCTGGATTTCCTGCAAAATCCCTCACTATGGTAAGATATCTTTCAACTGTTGCCAGGGTGTATGCCTCAGGACATGACAGAACAGAAGAAGGACTGACAAAAAACATATGGTTCAAACAGGGACTGAACACTAAATAGCACGAGTACTTTTTGGACTGTTGCCCATGAAAGACCCACTGTTTCTACCAGAAATCTAAATCTCTGGAGTTTTAGTAATCTAAAACTTTTAGATATGTAATGTAATACATTTTTAGTAAGGTAGCTTTAGAACAGTACCAAGTATATGAAGAATTATTCTGCTGAATGACAGCAGGAGGAGTACAAAGAAAATGGAGGATCTCCTTCCTTGATGCTAACTAACTTTCTGTGGCTTGATGAAAAAATATGGATCACAGGCAGGTCTTTTTCACTGACAGGAAGGAAGGTCAGAAAAGAGGTGCTAATGTATGATAGCTGCTTCCTTTATCAGATCACAAAAAGGCTTTCAAGAAAATATTTTCTAGAACTGTCAAATGAGCTATTTAATTGCTTCACTCAGTTCTTCCCACTGGCTTGTTACCAAAACAGCCAACATAATTAGCAAGCAGATAATACTGCATCTTGAATAAGCTTGTATCAAAAATTTTCTTCTTTTGGAAGTGGGGTGCCTACTCCATCAGCATATACTTGCCATCCCACGGGGATATCTGGGAGAGTACCAGTACCACCCCAGAGCGGGTCTGTTCCCACAATAGCTATAGCTGAGGGAAGGAGTGACCTGCTTGGCTGAAAATTCAAGACTGAGTTAGAGGAAGACTTGCAGTTAAACCACATGGGTGGTAAGGACCTGATGGGGTGATTATTTTTTTTAAACTACAAGTGGTTGAACTGAAGGGAGATTAGTATTTTGGTGGCATTTGATATTTTCCATATTGAAAATGCATTAGGCAGCTCAAAGCAGATGCCTAAGAGGAGCTGGGTGCCCGAGCTGTGGCTTCTTATTGGACTGTCTGTACCGTATCACAGAGTCGAGGAAAAAAATATAACCCATCTTCACAATATTTGTCATTTGAATGGATGCTAGCTAGTTTGTGTCTAAGGGCATCATTTATCATCCAAGAGGCATGAGGTAGTTCAGCATCTTATTCTGTGGAGAATTGAAGACTTTGTTCTTCATCTCTGGGACAGAAGTCGTATTATATTTGGGGAGACTTCCTTTGGGCAACATCTTGAACTTAAAGCCTAGCTGTGCAGTCATGCAACGTGTATTATCTTTCTTTTTCATTCGGGCTATTCATGGTAATAAGATTCCTGCTTTCTCTGATTTGCCTATTGTCTTCTGTATAGATTGCAAGTTCTTTGTCTATAAAACCTAAGAACAGGATGGCAATAGTGCAATGGAGTCCTGAGCTATAAATACTACACTAAACCGAAGAATTTATACAGTAATAGAAATAAAAATAATGTAGTAGGTAATTGCCTTGGGAGTTGGTATTAAAAATACAATCAAACCCTAACATGCTGGGTAAAGCTGATTTCACTCCCATGTTAAGATAGCTTTGCTTCTATTCCAGAGCCGAGTGGTGATGAAATGTAACTTTTCCTGCATGGGTTTTGCTATACTGATGGTGGTGATGGAGTGTGTCACAAGTGAACATTGATGCAGGTTGTTAGCATGAGTGAACCAAACAGTGTATAATGTGACAAGCTATTAAAGCTCCACGTTAGAGAGCCTCCAAGAGTTTCAAAACTTGGTAATTTTATCTGTGCTAAGAAGCTTTTGAGCCATGCCAAGCCAGTGACTGAAGCAGCTGTATTATTGAAAAGTAAGCTTTGTAACAATGAGAAGATTCTCATGTAGTTTAGCAAACAATAAAAATGGGATTAACTATGAAGTTGGTGGGATGGCTTTTTTGAAGCCCTCAACGTGTTTTCACTGTTTGGCCTCTTGTGTAATTACAGAACTAGAACCGCAACATTTGAAATTCCTTTATTATTGAAATATATTTAATAACAGGGTTTAAACAGCTATCGGCCATCAGCTGGGCCAGAAAATATGACTTCCTTTATAATTAGAAGAAAATATCCTTTGGGTTTAAAACCCCGTTTAAATAAAACTACTATTTGTCACAGAGGCTCTTTAAGAAAAGGACAATACTTCCAAGTGTTGATACGTTCCAAAGTATTGATTATGTTGGAGGAAGAGAATAAATAAGGAGAGAAATTTCCCTTCCATTATTTTGAACAGAAATCAATGTTAAATGGAAAAGGCCAAAATCACTTGGGACTTTTAAATTGGGCTATTTCTAAAAAGGAAAAAAAACCCTCAACAAAAATAGTATTATAAATAAAAAAGCCCCATCCTTTTAAATGGTCTTTTTAAAAAGAGGAAGCACTACATACATTTAAAAGACAAGCTGAATTGAATGTATAAAGAGACAAAAAAATTCAGAGGTAAGATCCAGAGGTAAACTCTGGGCTGGATTCAGCTGAGACGCTACTGCCTCTGAAAATTACTATAGATCTAGTGATGCGTAAGTTCAAGAAATAACTCAAAGCTACCAAATCCAGTGATCACTGGGAAGATACTACAGTGATAAGTGACCACAGAATAAGAACAGCACCCAAATGCAGAGTTTGTTCTGTATCTTCTACCTTGCATAATGCTACCAAAGAGAAGAGCTGGAATAGGCTTAGAGAGCTGAGTATGCCTAAAATATCCTTCTAAATCATTCAACGCAATCTCACTATGGTTTGGTAGGTGAATCCAGGTTAGATTATAATAATAGCATGTTCACAGCAGGAGAATAAAGCCAAAATTTGGTATTTTGGGTAGATTATGTAATTCTAAAAATCATTCTTTCTTCCTATGTATTTTACATTCTTTATTTGGAATGAAGTATAACAAAAACATGGAGGTCTGTCTATTTGCATGTAACTTTCCTACTTAGCTGAAAAAGTCTGTGGAGTATGGATCATATGATAAAGCCATTTTAATTGTTGCATAAGGGAATATATTTTTCATTAAGTACAGTGTGGTATTAAAGTGTATTCTGTACTTAGCTATAACAGGAGTTCTGTTCCTGCTGCTCTTCAGCTTGTATAATTAAACTGGACAGAAAATGGCATGGACATATACAGGCAGCAAAGACAACCTTCTTCACCAAGAGAAGAAATTAATAACAAACCACTGAAAATGAAGCACTGAGTCTTCACTTCAGACGGATGCAAACTCATATCCCAAAGGATAGTATGGCAGGAAAGCTAATGACATTAGTACATAGCTAAAGTTGCTCTTTCCTCATAATTAAGATGTACTGTTTTCTTAGATCTAAGAACGTCCAGGTGTTGTTGGTTTACAATAGGTCGTGGCATGAATATTTGAAGTAATTATTACCGTCAGAAAAGTTTAATTCACTTCTTCACGATAAAAGAGCATTTAACTTACTTTGATTGCTTTTTTCTCTGCTCCCCCCTCCTCCACTTCTGCCAATAGCAAAACTCACAAGTTTTGGTCATGTAGGGATCTCATGGCACCAAAGGATATAAGAAAAATTAAATGGAGTCTTTAAAGATCTTTTGAAGCCAAGTAATAGAAGGGAGGCATTGAGAACAGAGAGCAGATGTCTTCCCTCAAAGAGTCTGTAGATAAACTCTGAGCCAGCCTGGTCCAAGCATAATTGAGGGAGCTTTGAACTTGACTTTTCTGTATTCCCAGTTTAGCTTAACATATTGGCTTTTTCCTCAACCTGTTGGTTGTCATATTGTTAGCCAGTGTTGAAGCTGTAAGGGAACAGAAGTAGTTGTTTAATAACATTATTGATTCAAATGATGATAGTGAGAGATGTTTTAAATACATGAGTTAGATGTTTTAAATACATCAGAGTTACAAAGAGGTTTCAAAATAACGGATAAATTATAACTAAATTTCTGTTGATTCCAGTTTGCAGTGAGAAATATGCTGAATATAAAGGCTATTTAGTCATCTCTCAGTTCATTTTAAAATTCAGAACTGCCAAACATGTATGAGAAGAAAATTTTTGTACTTGTTTGGTTTGGTAGTCAGTGTTTTGTTCACAAACTTAAACATCGTGAACAAATCACTAACTATGCTTTAGCAATAACAAAGCTATTCCTAGCTGTTCATTGAAGACAGCAACAAATTAATATGGCCTAGTGTTTGACATGGTTTGAGGTATCATTAGGAATTTACTTCTGAGTACAGTCTTTTCTAACTTAAGTGAAATTCATTTGCTTTCTTTTTGCCATTATAGGTTTGGGTTCTAAAGACTGGTAGTGTGTAGAAATGGCTGTTTATAGCCCATTCGCACAGGAACATCTGCCTCTGGAAAAATCAAGTTATTACTTACAGCTGGAACATTAACTCTCCAGACAACTGAGGGCAGGAATAGGGGAAAGAGAAGGCAGGAAGAGGTGCTGTGCTACTACCTGGTACATATTCTTGGCCACATCAAATAAATTGTGGTCATGAAACAGGAAGCTTTTTCTTCCTGCTTCCATTCTGCATCCCATAAATCTACACTTGGATCACTTCCTTTAAAATTCAAAATTACACTTCAAACGGTATTTTTCAGAGTAAGCAAAAGGCAAATTTCTTTTTTCAATACCAACATACAAACTACCACTATAAAATCTGGGTCATGTTTTGAGGTGATGTGCATAATTCTAGTTGCTTTCAACTTTGAAGACCGAAAGTGGTCCGGCATGAATGCTGATTAAGTGTAACAAGCTTCATATTTGCATTCTTTTTATCTTCTACAAAAAGGACTTTATTTCAATAAGCTCATTTTATTTGCTAAAAGGAAAGCAGTGTTTGGAATCCTATAGCATATTTTTCATGGCTGCTTAAGAAGTCTCCAGCAGTGTTTTCAATCAACTTGTAGGCCTGTGGGGAAAGCCTATTCCACATAATCTAGCACATTATTTCATCACAGCCATTATGTCTAAGCTCTGACACTGGATATTTGTTTTGCTGTTTACCATGTGTTATGGCACATAATTGGAGTTTAGGAAACATGACTTCAAATTGCTGTGCAATAACTGAGGGAGAGGCTATGACCTGTTCAAATGCACTTGATAGTTTGGAAATACCTTCATCTCTTGGTGAACTCTCACTGTATTCAGATACAACCTAAAATACTGGATTCAAGTGATCTGTAAAATTGTGGGTTCTGCTTAGTGAAGGAAGGAAGGTGGCAAAAGCCTTCCAACAGAGTTGATGCATGGGGTACTGAGCCTCCTGCACCTTGTCATGCTGGCAGAAAAAAAGAACCACAGACCTGCAAAGGTATCCACTATGAGGAGATTGGTGCAAACCTGTAGTTGTTGCTAAAGACAGGAAAGGGTTGGTATCAGGAGAGGAAGCATGGTGAAAGGAGTACAAACCTTAAACTGCCTGACATTTCCTTGGGCCACGAGTTGGTGCTCATTTTCAGGTGTGATGCAGTAAGCTAATCTCTAAACCAGATGGGAAGAAGAGGAAAAAGTCAGCCATATGAAGTGGGATTATGTCTGTAATCCCCAATCTATAATGGGGAAGTAGCATGAACTTTATTTAAAACGGTAACTTAAATCTTTAATATCACTGCATCACGTGCCTTTAACTTAGTCACTGAGAGAACAAGCTTATTATAAGCCCCTTGGTATTAGCCTTTAATATAAGAAGCAACAGTAGAAAGTTTTGCAAATACTAAGTCCAAATATTTAGCAAGTGCATATGGAAAAGAACATCAGGAACAAGTTGGTATCACAGGCCTTACATCCCCTAAATTCACACTTTTCTGTTAGTGCTGTATTGAGTTTGACTCGTCCTGGTGGGAGAGGAAGGAGGTACTATTTCCCAGCTCATCTCCCTTGTCTACCCTATGCTGTGCCATTTGGGATCACATGTGGATTTTGGTTTATCGTGAACTTTCAACCAACTTAAGGAGTTCCTGTTAGACTAAGAGCATACCTTTCCCCATACTTTTAAGGGCCATAATTTAGGGCATCGTGTCTTATGATAGCCTTTTGCTGTATTTCTCATGGGGAGACTGAAGAGTTGCTGTCTATCGGAGCTGTAAAAGGCAAACCAGAACTTGCTAACACTACAAAATGAATGAGCAAATATGGGTTTGGCTAAAGGCTTCTGCATCCCAATATCAGTAAACTTGTTTAAGATGGCAAAAGCCTGTTGGGCCAGTACAAATTATTCTTTGACACTTAGGTGCTAATAGAAAATGGGCTTGTAAACCTCCAGGAATGGAACAAAACAAAGGGCTTATAGAATTGCTGGAAATAAGAGCTAGAAATTGTGCACAACATTGAGATGTTGGACCTGATGAACACAGGGCAGGTGAAAAGGAGTTCCCACTTTGGGGTGCCTTTCTGAGGTGAACATTCAGTGAGGTGACTGTAATGTTTCAGAAACAAGACATTTATCCCTTTAGGCCTGCCAGGTCAATGCGAGGGGCATGTACCCTATATAGGTAAAGGGTGAGATCCTATTTTCTGCTTCTCTGTATGGTGGTGGTTCAGTGATTTGCCTAAGAGCGTCAATATCTTGCTACGCCATTGTGTAACTCTAGCTGTAGGAAAGGAGAGCAATAGAACTAGGTATAAGTCAGAGAGTCTAGATTAGGTTATAAAATTATGACATGTCACGGGACAAAAATTGATGCTGTATAGTGGTGAGGAGTCTTACTTCTGAGCACCATTTGAGGTTTTAAGACTATAGATAATTCATTATGACAGTGATGGTAAAATTAATATGATGGTAAAATTAATATGATCAGTGAACCTTAATCCTGTGCCATTTTGAAACTGATAAAAGTACAGGGGGGTGAACTGTAAAGAAATGTGTATGCGTTTTTCCCCATAGAAACAGGTTCTTTTAAATAGAATTAATATATTAATATTACACATAAGCATATAAATGGACTTAAAAGAACACTCTTAAGGTTGCAGTGTTAAAATTCTTGCTGTTATGCGAATCATTAGAATAAGATGGTCACAAATTGTTTCTCCCTCAGTTTCTGCTTTATTCAGTGCACAGACCAGGCATATTATACATGAAGTGGGTTTATGTAGTGCAAGATGCTGCTGTCTAGTACCCTGGTTCTTTTACTGAAGTAGTTAAAAAGCAACAGGCTAGATGAGACCATAAGTGGTGCCTATATCAGAATTGTTTCTTGATTTCCAGATCTATTTCAGCATCCTAGTCTACCTTGAATATTAAGTTTCTTCGAGCATTCTGATACTAGTGATGAACACAATAGAAAGATCTGCATTAATTCTAGCCTTGGCAGAGTTTTGAAATGATTCCAGTAAATAGAGGATAAGGTTACATATCTGACAGAGAAAATCAATAGGAAGTGGAGGACAGAATACTGGGCTAAATGGAGCTATTGCTGTGACCCAGTAAAGTATTTCTGCTGTCCTTTCTGGACGCTCATTAAACGAACAAAGGCCATCCTGAACACGGGGCTACTTTGGGGGAACATCCCACCCTCCCAGCATGTGGATATGTGTTTAGAGACTCTTAGAATGCTAAGATAGGAGAGGTTTGAATTGACTTTGTACATATAACAGTTTACAACACTCCCGTATAGAGTGATAAAGCATACCTCGGACTGAACTCTATTTAGGTAGAGCTGTGTGAAGACCACACCTCAGAGCTGAATATGAAGATACCATAATTTGTATATTTTTTTTATTAATAAGGAAAAAATAATTTCATCAATCGGATTAATTACATGCATCAAAAATCATTTTTCAGAATTATTATGGTGCTTTCTGGAAAGCTAATTTCAATCTAGAAGCTCAAACAGCATACAATAATCCTACCTCGAAACTCCAATCCATCTGACGGTTGAATCCAAAAGGTCACTCATGCGTAATAAGTTTTGGGAGTAAGAGAAACAAACTGCCAATTGAGATCCAGCCATTTCATTTCATAGCAACATTTCATGACATTTTATTAGCTTTCCACTTACTTCTTTAAAGGTCCCACGCACATTCATAAATTTATAGATAATATAGGCAGGCACAAGTATCATTGAAGATAATGCTATTCCCCAGCCAATGCGATTTGCCCAGAGAGGGAAGGTGTATTCATCGTAGGTCAGAGGTTTGAAATTTATTATGCTGACTATCACGACAAACTAGGGAAGAAAGAATAAAATGAACCACAGTTTTGAGATGAAGAAACTTAGTGGAAAACCGATTTCACGTGTTTTATTAGGCAGCCACTCTAAGGTATATTTCAACCCAGCTTTACTATTTACCTTCGTCCTATTTACTTTGTGCCTCTTCCTGCTTAAACTGTTGAAGTTCTTGATGCATTTACTAGCATTAACAGTTCATTTTAGCTACTCTGGACACAGATTATTTGATATTTTGGTGGGAAAATCAGGTGGTTGTCTGCTACTGCCTCATGTAAACTAATGTTATAGATATTAAAAAGAGATTCTGTAGTCAAGAAGTTGGTTTTTCCCTTCTTTGTTTCCCAGAGGCATTAGGCTTCATTTAGAAGTTTTGTACCCATTTTTCAATGAGAGGCATGATGCAAACTCTAGCATGATACATTTACTGAGGAAAGGTCAAGCAGCCCTAAGGCCTGGAAAACAAAGTTGTTTTTTTCCTGCTGGTGTTACCCTGTCCAGTACTAGATGCAAGAAG